AAATTAACAAGTCTTACTTTGTTAAAAAAAACTACGTCACAGAGAATGGTTAAGTTTTTTCTTTCATTGGAACTGTTCTCCTTCAACCTGTCATTTGTCTAACAAAGAATTTCCTCTCTTTTTCTGCTGCCTTTTTTCTCCTAAGCAATCTTATTCTAATCACACTTATCCTGAAGTTATTTCCCTTCTCTTCATATCACCTTACTGATCCATAATCAATAAAGGGCTCAAAACTACAAATTACCATGTAGAAGAAAGCTTCAGCTATGAAAGAATCCAAACTCAAACGGTCAAAAATTGTTAAACCATAAAACAGGTTCAAATTTAGTGAAAAGACACATCTACAGGCAAAGAAAATCCATAGAGGCTTATTAATTGTGACACTCTAAGTCCAGTACAACTTGCAGAACTTGCTGAGCCATAGGGACTTCTCAGTATCATATCTCTCTACGTCTGAGTTCTTCTGACATGCTTTTATCAGCTGCAACAAGAGATAAAACACTGGGCTTGACACATCTTTGTGACTGCCTTGGTGTGAGAATGAAAATAATGGACTAGACCAGCGTGTTATTTATCTGCAGCGTCCCAGTACTATTTTTACTTCTGAGATTCTTAAACAGATATTTTTTTTTTTAAGCAGACCAATAAAATACATACCATTTTCCAATTTCTGCTGAAACAAACTGAGGTACTCCATTATTCAAAATATGTTTTCACCACCTTATGCAGCACAGTATTGCTTACAAAACCACCCCAAAATAGAAGGTCTTGAAACAGCTGTGCAACATCCTTGCCCTATTTAGCAAGGCAGAAATGGATGATGTTCCTCTCTCCCAACTCCATCAGTGTGAACACAGCACACTGCAGTGGCCACTTTCCCAGCTACCTTCTTTTACTGCCATTTAAAGAGAAAAGCTACTTAGATATTGCCACACAAGGTTTTCTAAAGAAGTAAAGGCAAATCAAGTTACTCAAGTAGAAGGGTAACCCCTGACTATCAGAAGAATTTGCAGTGAACTAAAATGTACTGAAAGTGATTTTGATCTCAGTCTTGTGTTTTCCAAAACTTGTGCACCACGAACAGGATTGCTGAGATATGGTGATCAAACCCAAATAAAATCACAAGTTCCTATCTGCAGCAAATAGCTTCAGCTTGGAACTCTAAGGTTTGTACCACAAAGAACAGTTGACATTTTCTGCAGAGGTTTCCACTTGAAGTGCAATAACTTCTCTATCAGAGGTTTCTGTAGAACACATCCTTACAAAGGAAAGAGGATAATACAGAACAACATTAACTTTTTTTTTCCTTTAACAAGAGGTTATATAATGGAACTACTAAACTTGGACTACTTCCTTCAGAACACAAAGCAGCACTAAAGATACATTAAACTAAGAGAAGTCTGACAGATACCCTTCCTAAGGCTACTGACTGCAAGAGCAGCCACGGAATCTGGGATCAGTGGTTCAAAGGAAGTTCCTTCCACAGCTGATGATCTTTCCTTCTGTGTCAGCCAAGTACAGAGGGTGAATACAACAAACAACTTGAACATTAGTTTGCAGTACCAGGGGCTATTCTAGGTTATAACCTTTCTAGAGGTAGCCTGAGTTCACTCAAAAGTAAATTAAGTTTAATTCATACAGGGCATGATTTTTGCCTTTTTTTTTTTTTCCCCTTCATCTCCCCACAGATGATGATTCATTTCTTCTGATTCCTCTACTGGAAATATTTCTTCAGCTTGTCAGAATAGTGAAGTGCAGGATTACACAACACAATTTTCTGGGAAGCTGACATATGCTCAAACATTTCATTATAATTGACTTGGACTTAACAAGCTGAGTTCATGTTGTGCAAAATAAATCAAAACCTGACAGATCATTTTCTCATAGCATATAAGGGAAGAATAGGAGAAAGAGTACAGAAACTAGCATATTGTGGTTCAGTGTTCTAAAATCCTGATCTGCAAATGGTTTATCTAATTCTGGGACTATCACATCAGAAAAAAAAATTTAAAATAAAAATGCGATCAAGAGTCAAATGAACTAAGTCACCGAGATACATCCACAGAGTAGATTTTTTTTTTTAAAACAGAGACCAGATGTTTGAAAGCCCTTTAACTGTCTTTACCTATGATGCTTTCAAATTTTATTTCAGTTTTGGTTTTGGCATTTTTTTTTAATAATTCAAAAGCATAACTGAAAAAGGTCATTTAATATTACACCACAGGACTACACTGCATTCCTTAGGATTTGTGATATATGTGCTTACAGTGTGTCATTTAATAATGCAGAATAGCATCTCACCACACATTAGCTGACGAAGGATGAGGCAGCTGAGCACGTGCTAATACGGAAACCAAGAGCTCAGATTCAGTGTTAATGATTTCTCTGCTGCTGATATAAAATTTCCTTACTACATAGGCAGTCCCCATTAAATTTCTTCACACGTGTAATTAAAGCAAGAGAGTAACCTAGTTTATCCACCACAGCAGTCACAGAAAACATCAGAAGCCTTCGAAGTTTTAGGTTTGCCCCTTTTTTTCCTCTCTGGGTTCTCTAAATAACTTTAAATTTGTAACACACACACACATGCACCACCCCCACACACAGAACCTTTCAGAAATTAAGGTTATGAATAGCCTGCAAATCCTGTTCTCCCTTTCTACAGGCAATGCCTTAAGTTATTAAAAAACATTCTTTCTGTTTTGAGATGTCATTCATCAGAGTAGTTGTTTCAGCTTGGCTTCCACTTGACTGCTCACTCACAGTCAAAAAAATTCCTGCAGTATAAAGCCAGAGTCAATAGTTAGCAACTGCAACACTGAATTATACACCATATAATTGTTTTCTGTTTCGTTACAATGGCAGAAAATACTTATTTTATCTTTAATTATCTGAAGAAAAATTTAAAACTAAATCAGGCTCAAATCAATATCCTCACAATGTTTTGTTTCTTTCAGAACACGATGGAAATTATAGTTTTCACCTGGTTATCTTCAAAAGTCTTCATGAACATTGAAGATCTTGGTAGACCAGTTGGTTGGAGAGAAGAAAATAAAAAAGATACTAATCTGAAGGGGCCTTAATCCTGAAATTTCATTTCGACACCTAATCAATGCAACTTGTAGAACTCTGAGCTTCCAGTGAAATCAATACAACTCCACAGCTATTTCAACTCCCCCTCAAAAATTTAAGCAGAGATATTCAAATGTATTTATTAAAAGTACAAAAACACATTAACCTGCTGTATAAAAGCTAATTCCAAGAGAGCAGGGACTCTGCAAAATCTGGAGTACTTGTGTCCACAGATCAGAGCTCAGTTTAGAGACACCTGAACTAGTTCTAAGTAGTTTTCCCACCCTAGAACAAAGGTCTGCTCAACAGGTAGAACCCAGAGCTGATACCCTCCTTCCCATCAGCTGTATTTTTTAGCAGACAGCTTCACCCAAACACACAGTATTTTTGCCCCTTCCCCAAGATGCTCCATTACATCTGTGGCAAGAGGAAACGAGATTTGAGGCAGTAGATACAACGTGGGAATGTTGCATTAGATCTATTCTGGAGGCTTTTCTATGCAAGGGAACTCTTTATTTCTTACCTTAAAGCAAAATTGGAATGGCAGGGGACTGGAAATAGCCAAGCATTTGGCCTAGAGGTAATTATTTTAGAAGTATTTGAATAATAGCAAACCCAAGAATCAGACATCTGTCACTCCTAATTCATTTAAATTCTGCTGCTGGCTCTCAACCCACCCTAAAAAAGCCAAGTAAAAGTATCAGTGACAGGAAGAGGAGGAAAACGCCTTGTTGTTCAGCACGAGGTTTAAAATGGTCAGTGCTCAAAAACTACTGCCTTACAGCACAGTACAAGTTAAGACTTTAGGCAAGAAAGGCCTACTTTAGAAGTTTTGAGTCCCATTTCCAAACAGAATTCATGCTGATAATTGATGGGCAGAGGTCACCTTGTCTGCAAGCCAGACAGATGACTGTCCAAGCACAAACGTTACCTCCTGCTCATGGATGAAACTCAGAAAACTGGCATTGTGCTGGATTCTTGCAAAGGAACATGTCTCACCAAACACAATCTGGAGCTATTCAGCTTCTTTGCCTTTGGAAATGTTGGCTTCCTCTGTGACAAGGGGTTTTTGGAAAGTGGGCAGTACTAAATATCTGATATTTCACTGAAAGCAGAATCAAATAACTCTTTCCAAAGAGGGCACTCATGCTTATCCTTCAGGTGTTCGTGTATTGAAGCTCCATTTCATCCTGTGTAAGTTGTCTTTTATGGTGCAATATTTGAATCCAGCTGAACTGGAATCTTTCTGGCAACAGTTCTGCATCCATAAAAGCAGCAGCCTGAAACTCAACAGAGCCTTTAAGCACATATTAAGCTTTTCTGTTAATTAAGGGATTTAGAGTTTTCTGCATTAAAAAATTTATTAGCACTAAGAAGAAGGTACTTGGGTATCCAAAAGCCTAGATCACTGTGAAAGATGACTAACTGTAAGACAATCTCCACAGCAGCACTCTCCCCAAGGTGCACAATGGATGCACACTTCCTCATTAACAAGGCACATATTTTTAAATCAGTGCAATGGGTGTGAGAATTTCTGAAGTTACTTGGAACTCAGACCCTCGACAGTTCCTCCAAGCCACAGCAGAAATGCAAATTTTAAAGCCTTGAGAAGAACCAGGTAGTTTTTCTGCAGGTAAACTTATCAGGTGAAATGGTTTCAGTGGTAGAGCATTGCATTTATGGCATTGCACTGCTAATCTTCACATCTAATCAGTTATTCAAGGAATGGAAAAGCATCAGACATCTCTTCAAAATGATTTCCAATAACCCATCAAGTGATGAAAATGCAACAGCTGATTTTTTTTTTCTGCTCTGTGACTATAATGACTTGCAATGAAGTTAGCCCTGTATTCTTGTATCCCATCATTATTTCACAGACAGGTCTGCAATAATTCACAGTACAAATGCAATGAAGAGTAAAAACATACCAAAGAAAGGGGCATTTGACACTTTCACTGTAGTGCCCTCCACATCATGCCATTCTCAGTCTGGGAACATTTGCCAGGTACACAGCAACCTAATATAAAAAAACAAAGAATATTTAGGAGAGAGTATAATTTTCACAGTCCTTTTGCAAGTCACTTGAGACTTCTAAGGTATCAGTACAGAGTTTCCAGGTTTTTTTTATACATCATCTAAGAGCACACTCTCCAAGCTCTTCTGGAAGCTCTCTCTTCCCCAATTTGCAAAGTCCTTGCTTTTGTACACCAGCCTTACTAATTCATTGTTTATAGGACAGTCCAATTGTACAAGTTAAGTGACTGGCCGCCGCAGTAACTTCTAGGCAAAATTCAAAAGTGAAACAAAATTACATGAACAAAACCAATGACAAACACAATCACAACACGACAGAAGTAAGACATGGAGGCAGCCCAACTCAGCAGGCTGACCAGCAACAGGACTGGAAGCAGTCTGCAGTTTGTCAGAGTTGTTCAGGTTAGGAGGGACCTCTAGAGGTTACCTGGTCCAACCCCCCTGCTCGAGCAGGGCCATCCCAAGCTTGTTTCCTGCAACCATGCCCAGGTAGCTTTTGATTATCTGCAAGGAAGGAAACTCCAACATCTCCAGACAGCCTGGTCCAGTGCTCAGTCACTCTCAGAGTAAAGAAGTGTTTCCTCATGCTCAGACAGTGCCTCCTGTGTTTCAGTCTCTGCCCATTGCCTCACCTGTCACTGAACACCAGAGAAGAGCCTGACTCTGTCTGCTTTTTACCCCTCCTGCAGGTGTTTATCTAACTTGAATATATTTCCTCCTCCGAGCCTTATGTTCTGCCAGCTGAGCAGTCCCAGCTCTCCCAGCCTTAAACACCTTGTGGCCTTTCAGGGGATTCTCCCAAGTTTGACCATTTCTCTCCTGTACTGGTGAGCACAGAATGGACACAGAGCACCCAGCACAGCCTTACTGGTGCTGGGTGGAGGGGAAGGACCAGATCCTTTGACCTGCTGGCAACACTCCTCCTAATGCAGCCCAAGATAACACTACCTGCTTTCACCATAAGGGCATATTACTTTCTTATTACATGTAAAAATCCCCACAAATTCTCAAACTCCCCAACAATAGTGTATTAATACGAAAAAAATTCTGGCATGGCTAATAAATTGCTAAACAATTCCAGAGCAGCTATTTGTTAAGTATACCTTAAAAGATTTGAATACAGAAATACACACCATAACTTCAGAAGGGTCACAGACACAGAGCAGAAATTCATTTTGTATCCTTTCAATGATCTGCTTTCAATCTGGATTTTGGACCAAGGTGCGTGGGGGCGGGGAAGAGAAAACAAAAGCAAACGCCACAGATGAAAGAAAACTAATTCTAGCATCACTGTGGCAAACTGATTGAGAACTCCAGCTAGCCACTGCCACTGATTTTTGTTCTAACAAATTAGATATCCCCTTGCCCTTTCACAACTCACTCAGCAGTCCTGTCACAGGTAGATTGCTTAGAACTCCACATGCAGACATAACTCCTCCTGGCTTCTAAGACTGGGCAGACGTCTGGTTCCTGAGCCTCAGCAGCTCCCAGGGAGCATCCTGAATGCTCCAACTGCTGCCTCATCACTGCACATGCAATGAATGCACACATGGAAGACCAAAAAGGGAAGTTATCAACGTGATATTGGGAGCTGAGCCTTTGCCCCGAGGTCAAAGAGAACAGCAAAATCCAGCACACAGACGATTAAAGAAACACAGTGCTAGCATGAGGAAACCTTATTGAGCATTAAAACTTCAATGTCTGGCAAGCTGATTTAGAGCTGGTTCAGATAAGAATAAAAATATATTCTTACTTTGCAGTGTAATTGATAGTAGAATTTTTTCCACTTACATATTTTATATACATACACAGAAAAAGTCAATTTGAAATAAGTATTGCAAAGAGCTTATTTTCTATCTTAGACAGGAAATCTGTCTTTCAACTACTCTTTTGTCGCAGATTTCCCCTACATACAGACCCGTTTCTCTTTCCTTAATATCATACCAGTGAAAACTACAGGAATTAAACATAAAATCCTGCATAAAGACGAATATTTACACATTCTGAAAAGTAGGAATGGTATTAGTGCCTCTTGAAGCCTGATACAACCAGGCAATGGTGCACTTCCAGGTTCTTCCTACTCCTATCACTACCTTGATTTTGGCCCCAGCTGGTTTTAAATCTACTTTCCTTGATGTTATTAGCAGCTTGAAAAGAAGCAAGTGCAATAAACCCGGAGAGCTGTATCTAATCTCACGGGGTTCTGTCACACCCATCTCTGCCACCAGAGCTGCCTTGTCTCCATCCTATATCAGGAACATGGAATCAGATAAAGTCAAACACAATCCACAGTATGAACACATTCATCCTGCTAGTGATACTCTGAGACTGAGAAATCAGAGCTAACTGAATTTGATGAGAAACACAAACCTAAAGTAAGTGCTTCACAATTGAAGCAGTTCCTTCAATACACATAGCAGAAATGCCTTAAAAAAATATCAAAATACTCAAAAGAGTACTTATTCAGAGAATTCTTCACAAAAATTTGATTCAGCAGGTTACTGATAAATGGAGAAAGTCTTGGAATTGATCCCTCTTCAAGCTTAACGTTCACTACTACAACTCTGCTAAATATTAAGAGAGGGATGGGGGTTCTAACAAGTAACTATACTCTTTAATTAAGAATGTGGGAAGCATTATATACTTATACCTCAGCAATACAGCAGTCAAGTACAACCTGATCACAGGGGGCTGATTCCAGAATGAAGGGATCCCTGGAGCTCAGCCAGCCTACACCTTTGCTCCACAGGAGAGAGGAGGTACATAGAGCTCTGATGTCCATCTAACCTGCTAAACTTCTCACAGCTTTCCTGGGTACTCAATTCCTGTTCTTTGAAATGCAACATGAAATGCAGAAGACCATGTCAGCCCCACCAACACATACTGCATGTTCATACTGTAAGCTTATTTTCAGGACCCTCTGCCCAAGATCACTGGAAACAAGTCACAGAGCACACCACCTTGTCAGAGGACAGAGGAGAAATCACAGGCTTTCTCAAAGTCTTAGGAAGAAGGAATTCTGCTTGGCTTCTCATCTAATTCCAGGACACTAATTCAGTCTTCACTTATTGGGGTAATAATTATTTTAGATCATAGATCCTTTTGCTCCTTTCCTCTAGATTCCTCCTAGGGAGTTCCTGTATTATGTTTTCAGGACACTTCCTTAAGAGGAAAAAATGCCAGTATTTGATAGCTCCCAGCAATGTGGGATGAAAAACAATTCCTCAATCTCTAGAAATATAGCCAAAGACTTAAATGAGGGAAGTGCTTCATTGCAGGTTCAGCTTTTAAACATTACTGGTGCCAAGGTACTCCTTCTATCTCCTGGTACCAAAATATCATGAGGCATATATTCTGCTTTGCTATATAAAACTTGCCAAATTCAGGTTTCTGTTCCTATTCCCTCATCTCCCTTCCCACAGTGCTGCACACGGCTGTTTAAAAATTAAAGCCTTCACTTCTTTGAAGATCCTGTTGCACTGGAGAACATTTTCTTGCTTAAAACACTTGTTTCTGAATCAGACTTGCAAAGTTCAGTATCTGGTGGTTTATCTCAGACCCATCCAAATAACCACGAACATATTAGATTGTGCTTGGCTATTAGTTATAAATCAAATTACATGCCTTAATAGCTTGGGAGCCATATCCTAGAAAAGTTTGCAAGAATCCCCATTCAAGAGGTATCAGAATGAGCAGAGGCATCAGACCTTCTACTCAGTGGAATGGATCCATTCAATTTTGAAAAAAACTGAATCCTGGTTTTGTACTGTGTTTAGGTGCTTGGATTTAAGTGGGGGTTTTTTAATAGATATAGACCTCTAATAATCCTATAGGGTTGCTATTTGTAAATCTCACTTCCAGAAGAAGGGAAGAAAGATATTTTTGCCAGCTAAACCTTTCAGTCACTTTTATTCTTTTTAGAATTTCACATAACTGTTATTTTAACTGCTTGTAACTTTTCCATTCTTGCAAAGACTGGCAAAAAATGTTTAAGTATCTGAAAATTATGTTTGTAATTTTGAAAATGGCTGTAACTATCAAGGCTGTCTGGTTCTTTTCAAACTGCAGCCATACTGCAAGATAAAAGCAGGATGAACTCACAATTTAGTTTTAGTGTTTGATAGCACAGCAACTTCAGCTATACCTTTAAAGAGATGAACAGCAGTGGCTGAAGTACAGTACTCAGTCACACTTTAGACCACTGGTGCAGAAGATAGAAAATTTACTTATAAATTGCATTTGGTAATAAACTACTGCAAATACATCATGTTGTTGAAGTTTTTATGTTCTGTAGCAAGCACTATTAGCACTCCAACGTGACACTACAAATCCTTACATTGTGACAGACAGGAAGCGGAAGAAAGTCACAGGGAACATCTGAAACTGGACTGAGCCTTTCCCCAAAGGCCCTCTCTGAAGTCGTGGTTAATGCATGAACCAGTTCAATATGCAAGTTTGTGCTATGTACAATTAATGCATGCACCAGGTCAATGTGCAAGTTTGTGTTATGTACAATTAATGCATGCACCAGGTCAACGTGCAAGTTTGTGTTAGGTACAATCGTCTGATGGAAAAGGACTTAACAAGTGAACTACAGCTGTTAAAAACAAAAACGTAAGACAGACTTAAAATTTTCCAGAAGATTATAGGAGGGGTTAATTGAGGCTACAGCACTTTTCTACAGTGCACTGTTGGACTATTTGCTTAACAAACCCAGGACAAATCCCAATTCAACAGCAGTGCCTGAAAAAAAGGATGAGACGCTAACATGTGTTAAGTATGTAAAAAAGTCTCCAGCATTCTTTAAGGATGTGAAAAGGGAGAATGAATCCTTCATTGCTTAGAGGGGAACATTTTTGTCTTGCCAGAGGACAGATTCCCAAGGAATGACATTTTCCTACAACCTGTAATTTTCTCATTCATCATTTGTCAGGGCCCAAAGACCTTTTACTGCACACAGAATGTTTGCACATGTTTAATCATCCTTGTCCCAAACAAATGTCACAGTCTGAATGAGGAAATCAGTTAATATCACTGATGATGCTAATTTAACACCATTAATATCACACTGTGAACAGTCACTGAACCCACTAGGTCTCGTATCACAGCTAAGCTCTGCTGGTTGCAAGTCTGTTCTCCAGCAGACAGCACCAAGAGAACCCACACAAATATCACAACCAAGGGAATGTGATAGAATTTTTAAAGACTGCTTTGATTCTAGACTACCAAACAAGTGTGACTAAAGACAGACCATTTGACAGAGATTTAGATCCACTAATTAGAACTCATATACACTCTCACAGATGCCTCCACTTTCATCACTGAGCAGTCAGAAAAGAGTCCAAAAGGACCAAAAAAACCATTCCACCACGAGACTACGAGATAGCCAGCAAAAGCTAACGTGATTTAGAAGGCAGAAGACACATTGCAGTGTTGTCTTCAATGGCAACTATACCATCTTGCTCTTCTGTGTGCACAGGTGAGTCACATTTTGTAAAATAATTTCTCTGCACATACTATCTATGAAAAAAGCTTTCTAAGAGCAGAACCATATAATATTTTCTCTAAGCCATTCATATCTTCTACACACTTCCTCTGAAAAAGAAAGGATGACATAAGGGAGCCAGATTATTTAGAAAGTCCTGCAAATGCTGCTGATACTGTAATACAGGGGAAAATAAAAATCCATTAACTACTAGTATTTTCTTATCATGCACCTACCAAGTAGTTAGAGTGGGAGAAGAATTGGAACTTTAGGTTTTGGTACCTTAACTCTCCTTAGAAGCAAGCTGCAATTTCTAAGGCTTCATGTTTCAGTCACAGAAGCAAAATGTACTGGCTTAGGATTCTCATATTAAAGCTGTAAAAACAGAGCAACAAAAACTCCACCCTAAAACACACTCCTGTCCTTTTGACCAGTGTTCTCTCCCTCCACTGAACAGTGCTAGCTCTGGGATAACACGCAGGAAATAACACTGCAAAAAAGGATGCATAAAGAACTTCACATTGTTAGCACTTCAACCACAAAGACAGAATCCAGAAGAAAAGTCTAGAAGCAGATCTAAGAGAATCTCTGTCACAGGTCAATCAATCAGAAGTTTTCCTTATTCAGTTTCCCGACTGAAAATAAAATCAGCACCGGACACACTTCAGCATCTTTTAGATCCACAATCGTCCTTTCCCAAATACTACTTGAAACCACAAGTTCTTAAATACAATGAATTCATCTATTAAGCTGCAGAGTCATAGTGCAGGACACAGTCACAGGGATGATCAAACTGTCAGATCACAGCTGAACCACTGTTTACAGCACTTCCTACCTCAGGGATCAATAATTTCAGCCTTTCACAATGATTGCTGGCTAAAGTCTTCAAATAAGGCAGGCAATTCAATTGCTTTTTTTTTCAGGAACTTGAAATAAGATGCTGCCTCTTCCTAAATGGAACATGTCTTTCATGTCTTTCAGGAGCAATGAGACTTCATCCAATACTTATTTCTTTTGAGGTATTGATATTTACAGTTGTTTATCCATCACCATAAAGTTGCAACCTTCATTTTACAATACAATATACAGATTAGCGACAACTAATAGCCTGACAGTGTCAGAATAAAATTAATCTATCTCCTAACAATCCATTAAATATGGCTAATTAGTACTAGTGATTACTCATCAGACCTTTTACTTCACAACATACTGCTTAAACTCGCTGAACTGTGAGCTGCTATTCTGATTTTACTGTGGAAGGTGAACCAATGCCAGAAAATATATGCAGAAATACAAAATAACAATAACAATAAAAAAAACCCAAAACACCATTTTTATAGAATTCAGAAATATTACACATCCTTTTTCTTCCCACAGAGGTCAACCACTAATTACCTGAAATCCTCCCTTATGGAACTTGCACCATCATTTCAGAATTTCTCCCCAGGCACCATTTGTGTGAGGGGTGAGGGAGGGTGGTGGGGACAGGCAGTGGGGAGGGCAGTTGACCAGCAACAAACTCTATGGAGAAATCCCAGCAATTTCCAAAAGTTAAACAAATATCCAAATGCGCTGGAAACTGGCAGGAATGGGAAGAGGAGAGGAAACAGCAAAACAAAACGAGACAAAACAAACAAACAAAATAAAGCCCACTCAAAAATACACATCTGCCACTACACAGCAAAAGTATTTGCTTTATTCCATCACCTCATCTCTCACTCGCAACAGAGAAGGGTCTTATTCACGTACATAAATCAAGTTATATTTGCAAATTTAATACCACCATGTCTCTTTTAATTACTATTTTGTGGATGAGCACCTATAAGTCTTCCCACCTGAGATCCTCATAACAGAAACGCTTGGAAGAAGTCACAACAGTGAAATACACACTTGCTTAAAAACAAAACACAGCCATAGCAAAGTATCATCTACTCCAACTTAACATCTTGTTTAATGAAATAATATTAGTTAATTAAGCAAAAAAAAAAAAAGCTACAGACATTTTCCTATCCATTTAGGAGAAATGACAGAGAAACTAGTAGTGAAAGGCCAAACTAATCAAAATGAATTTATGTAGCAAGGGCAAACACTTTCAGCTAGAAACTACCCAGAATAAGATCCTTGTAAGGAATCTAATGCAGAAAAAAACTCCAAATACAAGTGAACAAACAAGCCCCCCTGTATTATATAGCCAAAACATAACTAAGAGTGTCTTTTTTTAAAATATCAAAGTCCAGGAAAAAAAAAAATCCATTAAATTATTTGAGAAAAACACTGTATTTTCTGAATGAGACTAAAACAAACCCATACAACCCTCCACACTCAAATGACAAAACATCTACAGTATGAAAACTCCCTGCTACCAGAAACCTTGCCTTGAATTCCATGATTTGTGCTGATGAGTGTCCAGAGTTCACCTAACTTCCTAACACAGATTAAAAATAAAGCTGTCCTATTTACACTAATATTTTGAGTGTTTCCCTCATCCTCTTGCCAATTCCATTTCCTCATCTCCCAAAAACCAAGCAGAGCAGCTAAGGCAAAACTGAGAAAGATGGTAGCAGGAACAGTTTAGCCTTTGAACAGCATGCTTAAAGTTTTAAGTTTCACTGCTGAAATGAAAGGCTAGGAATAATCAAATTCTATGAAGAGGATTGACTTGGAGAACTCCCATAATACATTTAATCTAAACAATATCCTTGAATGTGTCTGTTTTACTTTCACATAACGAGAAATTCAAAAGAAACACTGCACATTAGCTACAGAAGAATACTTTCACGAAAACTTCTTAAAATTATATTTGGACAAGAGGGAGGGAAGGAGAGAGAACTGCTACGCATGCAGCTAGCACCAAAACTACTACTCCAGTTGCATCCTTTGGAGAACTCCTAACCTCACTATACTGTACTGCCTAAGTTCTTAAAGCATGGCCCACCATGCTTTACATCTCACCTACACTGAGAAAAAAAGCTGTTGCACTGCAGGTTAATTTTGGAATGCAGCCGCCACCTAAGCAATTAAGGGGCTTTTCACAACTGCTGTCTGATGGCATAAGACGGCATCCACTGTTAACAGCAAAGACAATACTTATTGCTGTGATAAAAGTTTAGTAAAAGCCATCGTATTTTTACCATTAGTTTCCTATTGAATTTAACATTAGCCACAGAAAAGTACGATCACTTATGCATTCATCCATACACGTGCAGCTTGGAGAAAACAAGGCGGATGACACAGATACTGCACCTCGGTAAGGTTTAACATCCATAAGTAACTCTTAAAAGCATAAGGATTAAAAAAAAACCAAACAAGTAGCTAATTAGAGACCTACCTACATCTCTCCCAGATTTATGCCTGGAGCCCTGCAGCCTTACAGGGCTGTCGAACAGCCCGGCACACGACTGGGAACCAGAAGTTTTTAGCACGGCACATGTTATTTCCCAGCTCAGGCAATGCCTCCCCGCATGACCTTGGGCGAGTCACTCCCCGCGCATCTCCGCTCCTCACCTGGCAGCCCCCGGGCCACGGCGCGCCGAGAACCAGCACCGGCTAATTAATTACTCACAGGTGGCTCCGCACCGACGAGGCTGCAATGAAGGGAAGGGGAGGTGGGAATTGGCGCGGGGGGTTCCTCACCTACAGGTGATCAAAATCTCCCCGCCATGGATTCAGGGGGACAATCCCCCCCACCCCTTTCCCGCTTCCCTCCTGCGCGGGTCGGAGAAGGAGGCGGCGGCTCCGGCTCGCAGCGGCAGCAGCCGAGGGAGCCGCGCCCTCCGGGCCTCCCGCCCCCGCCGCCTGAACCCTCCCGGCGGCCCCGGCCGGCTGCGAGCCCCGCCGGGCGGACACTCACAGGTGGCCCGGAGCCGTGATAGGCGACGGCCGGCCCGGCCCGGGCTGGGGTGGTCTGGGCACCACACGGGAGGCGAGCGAGCCGGCTCTGCGGGCGCTGCGCTCCCGCCGCGGGGCCGCGGCCGCCGCCCGCCCCTTCCCCGCCCGGGCCGCGCCGCTGGCCAATGCGGGCCGCGCCAGGAGCCGGCATCCACCGGCTGCTGCGAGGCGCCTCCTCCAACCCCTCGCCGGGGGCTCCCGCCCAAGCGCCGCCGAGCAGGGGGCACGGCAGGGAGCCCGCGGCCCCTCCGAGGAGCCTCCCCCGCCTCCCCCCGCCGGGATCGCCGCCCCTCGGCCCGCGGGGGCAGCGAGCGGGGCGGGCTGTGGGTGGCGGAGCAGCGGCTGCGGGAGGGTCTCACCCCCCCGGGGTTGGGGGGAGATAAAGCCCCGACCTGATAAAACTTACGCGCTCCCCACCTGTTCCCCGGCGTTCCCCGTGCGGGGTGTCAGGAGGCCGGCGGTGGAGTGGCACGGAGGAATGTGCCTCGTCCTGCTGAAGGGCCAGATCTGAGCGTGTTTAGGCGTGGACATCTCCTGTGACCGAGCTATCCCAAACGACTCAGATTTCCCTTTCACTATTTTCGGGTCCCTTTCACTATTTTCGGGTCCCTTTCACTATTTTCGGGTCCCTTTCACTGTTTCGGGTCTCTTTCACTATTTTGAGTTTTAGCCTTTCACGTTCCCAATTGAAGGGTTTTTCCACAAACACCACCTTATGCGCCTGGTCCCTTATTTTTGGGTCCCTGTCTCCACCCCAGGCAACAGTAGTTCAGGTGTTTGCAGTGCAGGTGTAAACATTCACGAAAGCAGAGCCATAGTTCCTGTTTTACCTCTCTTTTTGTATTAATCATTTCCTTGTTACTGACCTCCCTGATTGTGCTTTTTAATCAGGTTGCTACATTTTCTGTTCTGCACAGGAAATCCAAGGAATAAGAAGCTAGCTTTATTCCGACAGGTCCCAGGGTGATATTTTTGTGAAGATGTGTCAAGAAAATTATGCAAATTCTTCTCAACTTTCAACAACTTAAAATATTCTTGAGATTCACACTGTGGAAAGAAAGAAAATGTACATTTTTTCATGGGTTCACATTTTTTTTGAAACTGTCAGGTCCTTATTTCTCAACAGAACAGTGTCATTAAATTACAGATTTAAAACCAGATACAATTTGCAGGACTTGTAGGATTTGAGATATAATATAATATATCCTTTTTAAGGTGGGGTGAATGTCAAAGAGTCAAAATAAGTCTTGTAATTAAATTAATAATAGGTCATTTTACTATTAAAAAATATGATTTCCGGAAATAAAGCCAACCACCTGTTTTCCATACCAATGCTGTTACAAATTGGCTTGTGAATGGTTCAATGTGTTACTCCAAACAGACACTTTCAAAGATGGGATCTATTCCTTGCCCACTAGGAAAGTTTTATCTTTGCATTAAAGGTGCTCAAGACAGCTGAGCTTTACCTTATTATTACAAAAAAAGTCTCAAAAATACTCTAAATGATTGGGATCTTTCTTATGAGACTCCAAATGGATAAAATTTTGTCCTCAGTATGCATGTGAAATGCCTCTAAATCTGAAGGAGTGATTTGTCATTACAAGATATTTTTAAGGAATGATTTCTATACAGTCATAATTACCAGAATGAGAAATTATCTAGTGAATCTTCCATTAATCTTACAAAGCTGTTCTCAAGCCTGAGTTATTTCCATCTATATTCTAATCAAGACTCATCATCATAATTTTGTGAGATAGTTTCTAACATTAATGCAAGGTTTTGTCTTACTACTTTAAGAATGTTATTATTGTTAATTTTATTAATACATAGAAATTCCTTCTAACGTCTTAAATAAATTGACCTAGGTAACAATATATGCATAAAAAAAGATTCTCTTCACTTGAGTGAAGAGCGTGCCATCATCATATATGAAAGACAAAGGATGGCTGGAAATAAATCTATAGGCAAACAACTGACCTCTGAAACAGTGAAAATATAAATAGCTTGTTCAATTGTACAAGAAATCTTGGCAAAATCCAAAAGCATGTAGAGGTAAGTGCTGTCTCAGTCCATTGTAATAAACACTGCTGTTAAATATGAAAAACTGTGCCTTAAGTCTCGAAGTAATATTTCTCTATTAAGTGGTTTATTTCACAAGCAAAATGAGTACTGCAAAAGCAGTTGTTTACCTTTTTTAAAAATATGGATTCTTTCCCATGGTTCATTACTCTCTCTATTACTTTTTTGTATAGATTAAAAATATGTCAAATTCTGCATGCATACATCATCAGTGTTGTGTATGTCATGGATGTGAATAGGGCAAGATCAATTCAGGGGTTTTCTTCTGTATTTTTACTTGTTACTATCTTGGAATGTGACCTTGGGCAATTTACTGAACTTGCCTGTGATAGTTCTTTCATCTGTGAGATCTGGGATAGTCACATTGGAAGAAGGGCACTTTATTGGTAATAATATTGTGTGAATTTATCTATAACAAATGAGGTAGTAAACAGCACCTTTGAATACATCCAGTCATTATCCAACATAACATCTGGGAGAACTGAGAGCCCCTTCTAGTGCCTAAAGGGGCTCTGAGAGAGCTGGAGAGGAATTTTGACAAGGGTCTGGAGTGACAGGATGAGGGGGAACGGCTTCAAACTGACAGAGGGCAGGGTTAGATTGATATTAGGAAGAAATCCCTCGCTGTGAGGGTGGGGAGGCCCTGGCACAGGTTGCCCAGAGAAGCTGTGGCTGCCCCATCCCTGGAAGTGTTCGAGGCTAGGCTGGACGAGGCTTTGAGCAGCCTGGAAGGTGTCCCTGCCCATGGCAGGGAGGCTGAAACTAAATGGTCTTTAAGGTCCCTTCCAACCCAAACCATTCTAGGATTCTATGGTGTCAGTATTGTCTCCTGTTTCATTCTAGGCAGCATATACGTGCAGTCTGTAGTGCTTAAAACAAGGTTTAAAAACTAGGCAGAATTTTTTGTCCAATATAGCAAATAAAATCATCAAGGATCCCATGTGAAAGTCATTTAGAGAAGAAGCCTAATTTTTTAATTGGTTAAGCAGTGCATTAACAGTGTGTTCAGAGGTAAAGCTGCGAGCAATTATAGTTCAGGAGACGAAAGACAGGGAGAATGAACAGTTTTCCACAAAGTTCATGATGAAGAGCACTGTATCCCTTAAAAGCTTTATGTTTTCTTCACGAAAAAATGATTGCATTGATTAATTATAGGAGTTCAATAAGATTACGGTCTGGTGCCACCAACAAAACTATTCAAACCCTATTTTGGTGTGTTTTCCACATGCAGCAGGTGTTCATCAGTGCAATAAGCTCAGAAACATCTCTTGCCATTCCCACACTACATGTTTGCACTAAGAATTTTGGTTTTAGTGGTTGTGTACATGTTGCATATAGTTACCCTGTAACTTTCTTCCCTCATCTTTTCTTTATGCAAAGTTGAGTGAAATGTGATCTCTGAGGGTGATGCTTTCAGCAGAGTTAAAAATATTGATATGCACTAACGGCAATAATAAATTTTTTTAATCCCTAATGTCTTTGAAGATCCATTAACCCTAATCAATCCAACACATCTGATTGTTCTTGCCAACTGTCCTTTTCCAAATAAAGATATATCAAGTTACATTAATAGTATCCGTAATTAAATATTAGCGTGGATGTAAAAGCAAACTCTGAGATCCAAATAGTGCAAACTTGGGCCACTGATTTAGTTTCAGATCTTGCAGCAGGCTGTTCTCTGAAGTGAACCAGCCAAAAGTGTGAGAGTGGAACTCAGCATATGAGTGCAAAGACAAAGTTTGATTTTTAACAACCCCCTCCCCTTTTTTTTTGTGAAATATGTTAAATTCCCAGTGGGAAAAAAAAAAACTCAGGATTGAAGAAACTAATCAGAAACATACATTAGAGCCTTAGTCATAAAGAAGTTGCTTTGTTTTAAAGACAAAGCAGATTTGTGGTAATGTTGCCACTTTTTATAAACTGTCAAAAACTAGGGGTTGTTTTATTTTGGTTATGTGCCAGTCATGACTCAGGAACTGCTAAGAAAATGCATGTGCTATTTCAAATGTGGCAAGACCTAACCTAGATTTAGGGTAGTCTGTTTACTGCAAAACTGAAACCAGTTGAAATGTCCTGTAGCTGCTGACACTCCTGAGAAAACAAAAACATGGATGGGCAGCGCTAATCACTGGAAATGCCCGCGGATTGTAAGTGAAATGTTGTGTCCTTGCCCCAGAGGCCGTATCTTCTGCTGTTGGGGGAAGGGGGAAAACAGTAAAGCAACAATAGCAACAAGAGGTACAAGAAGTACGTAAGGAAACAGATGTCTGAACTTCAGCAGATAAGATAGTTGTCTGTTGGACTCCAGGATTAGTCTCTCTGTGTAAAGAGAGCAATCAGGACTGAGAGTTTTTGCATGTTCTTTAATAACTGTGTAGCTGGTAACTGCAATCTCGTGTTTCCTATCCCCTTGCTGAGAACATATTAAGGGAAATGGATTATAACTCCAGTGCTAACAGGAAAGTGTTCAGTAATAATAATCTGTAGCTTCTCGAGCACTTTTCTGTTTTAAAGGGCTTTGCCACCACTGATTAATTAATCTGTTCTGTGTTTAGTTCTGGGGAAGCACGCAATCCTTCCACTGAACAGTTGGGCTTTGTTGTGGCTCTTAAA